TTAATCAGCTATTGAGTTTCAATTCAATTTTTTTTGAATAGTAGAGCTCTGTGTGTGTGCACGCTCTCCTCAGCACTGCCACTCCTGAGAACAGACAGTGGAAGCAGCAGGCTTGCAGTGCCAGTTGCACTTTGGGCAGGGAAATCCCCTGCTCCTCCATTGGCTGTTTCCTACCACTGTTGCTGCAAAATCAGGTCTAGTCACTGGCATTTCAGCCTGCTTTCAAACAAAGTGCAGCAGTTACTATGATTGTAACATTTCATGGTGGTAAAAAGGAGGAGATTTTTCATTAATAAAAGGCAGAACTTCTACTCACAGCATTTCCCCATCTGTGCCATGTCAAGACATGAGAGTTATACCTTGCATATTTTAAGAATATTGTATTAAAAGAGATGGGAATTTTGTAAAATAAAAAAAAAGAAAGTGTAACAATGATCATGTTACCTAACCTATTCCATAAGCTTTAAAAGGTATACTGTTGTGCATTGTTTTGGGCGGGGGGGCACCGCGGGGTGTCCCCAGAGGGCTCCCTACACTGTGAGTTGGCTGGCAGCAGCAGGCAGGGAAGGAGACTCCACACAGCTTCTGAGAGTGCTAATTAGATGAGGGTTTATTGGGGGTCCCATCCCCGGGAACAGCATGGCTACTGAGGGAGACGGGGGAAGGGGGAGGGGGAAAGAGGGAGAGGGCCTAGGGAATGGAAGGGCCAAGAGGGGAGGGGAAGGGCTAAGAGACGAGAAAGGCTAAGAGAGCGACTGGTCTCACTAGCACGGCTTAAGCGGGAGATTGAAGTGGGCACGGAATCAGACTTGGGCCAATGGGATTACAGATACATGATGGTTCAGGGCAGGACCACAGGCTTGGGATATACCATACATTTCAGAGGGGTGAGACAGAGCGTACCATTTAAATAAAATGCAATACTACATCTTACCCTTTTTTTGTTAGAAAGATAAAGAGAAATATGATAATTAACAATTTAAAAAATGAAACAGTAATTATACTGTTTTGTAACATTAAAATAAATACAATTGCAGTGAGGATTATGTTTTAAACAGTTCATTTGATTTGATGTTTGCTTTTGGCGGTAGGCAGCAAAGATAGAATGAGCATTTAATTGTAATAAACCTGTAATAAACAGGTTATGTGGGTCCATATTGCAGATCTTAAGCGAATTTAAAGCATGGGTAAGTGCATAAGGGCTTCAGCCTTTGGCACTAAGCTCATATAAGCAATTATGATTCCGCAGTCTAATACTGTCTGAACCCTTGCTATTAAAGAAACAATCCAAAACCGCTTCTCGTCGGATCTACTCTTGTGACCTGACAGGCCCCTGCTTTCTAAAACTGAAAACAGGACAATGTGCAATATGAGCACACACAAACTAGAAAAGCGTAATTGTAAAAACTACTTCATGGGGACGGGAAGGAGGTGGAGAGAGGACAGGTATTGGATAAGAATGATAATAAGGTTAGAGGGTTTTAGGATAAAAGTTCTAACTGACGAGGTCTTTTCAGCTAGAACAAGTGGATAGGTAACTGGGGAGGTTACGGGGAGCCAGGGACTCTGTGAAAGAAAAACCTTTTTGGGGTACCCTGCGCCTTCAAGTGGTTTGCTCCCGGTGATCTACCCAAAATAAGGAAAAAAGGGGTATGGATTGCAGAGACGGATATTATCCTGCTCTTGGAATAACAGGGGAAGGAGATCATAAAGTAGAATTTGCAATTCAGTGAAATGTTGAGGGTTAGCCAAGTGGCTGCAGTGCGGGGTTTAGAAGGATGGAGTGGATTCCCGGGAGTTTATGAGGAGGGTGGGTTAAGGATGGAGTTAGAGAGAAGGAGCAGCTAGGGGAGAGAAAGACCGAGGAAGGAGGTCAAAGAACTGAGGAAAACAATTTTGGGAAGGTGCGGGGCTCAGGCAAAGCTGAAAACTGCATCTTCGTGGTCTGGTGTCTCCCCCGCAGAAACTGGTGGGCTTGGGTTCCTTCTTTCGCCACTGCTGTGGTCCAGGACATCGGCTGCTGGGGCTCGGCGATCCGCACGGCCCGCCTGGTCTGCGGCCCCTGCTCCCCCGCCACCTGCAGGTGGGGGGCGGCAGGCTCGGCCCTGTCACGGTGGCGGCTCCCAGCGAGCGGTGGCTCCGAGCAACCACATGGCGGCCACGTGGCGCGGTGCTGCGAACGGTGGGCTGGGTGCACTCCATGTGGCTTCTCTGGGTGCTGGGGCAGCGGCGGGCTGGCAGCAGCGGTGTCTCGCAGGGTCTTTGCGCAGTGGTGGAGGGACCACCTGGGGCCATGGCTGCAGCCCCGTACTGCCGCCCCACAGTGCCGAAGGCAGCGGGGAAGCGGTGTTCCGCTGGGTTCTGCGCTGTGCTGGCACGGTCCATTTTCGTCTCAGGGCTGTCAGTGCTCTCGCCGAACACTGGGCACCAGTATACACGTAGTTAACTACAGTATTAAAAAGTTCACAAGCATAATAGAACGTCAGTCTCTCAGCATACAAGAATTACTTATTTTTACCTAGATTTTCAACGGCATGTTCAGTTCAGTATTGTGGGCGCTTGTACGGACTTCACATTTTTGTACAATTACCAGTGTCCTGAATCAAGTGCTGAGGACTGAGTATTCTTTAAATGTTTAAAGCATTAGCAAGGTTCTCATACTGACCTACTAAGGTACCCATATGTAAAACAACTTTCTTCTTAACTGAATGATTATGTAGGAACCTGTTTCCTATTATCTGTGTTTCACTAATAGAGAGGTTTTAATGTAAGTGTACATGTTAGTGATATAATGGTTGCTCTGTTACCTGTTAAGACATAGTTTTCACAAACACAGAACATCTCTGGTTTGTATGTATATAGATGTTATCTAAACATTTCTGGTTTGTATGTATATAGATGTTATCTAAACATCTCTGGTTTGTATGTATATAGATGTTATCTCATTACCAAGGGCTAAAGCCCTTGGTAATGAGATAACATTGTTACAACCTTAAAGGCCTAACCCCCTCCCAGTGCCATGGGTTTTTTGGGTTTTTTTTGCAGACAGGTTGTTGGTGCTGCTGGAGATATTACTGTTACTCTATGTGTGATTAAACAGTGAAAAAATGTGGACCGCCATATTTAAAATGGAAATAGAAAAGTAAAACCAATCAAAATGTAAAATGTGTAGAATAGATGAGCTGTAAAATAGCAGAGCAGCTATCAGACACTATTATTATAAAGTAACATCCATGCTCCCCCTCCATACTGATAGTATTGAATTAAAACCAGGAAACTACATGACATACTGGATAGCAACAATTGTACTTATTTTTCTTCTGTGCCTTTTTAAACTTTATAAGTTCTGATGTGAATTTAAGCGATAAAGAAAAACAGCCATAAAGCAAAATGTATGAAAGACATTGATGCACATTTAAGTGCTTTTGAAAATCTTCATGGAATTTAGATAACTCTGAATTTCCAGAAAGACCTAGGGCCATCAAACAACAAGGATGTCAATAAAGAATTAAGAGAATTAGTAGATCTTTCAGGGCAAACATGCAGGTGTTATTGAACTCTATTGATGCATTTTACTTTACCCATCACTTGACTGGTTCACTTTTTTGATAGCAGAGATGTGAATCAGTACAATTAAATAAATGCTGACTTTTTTATTGTAAGAAGCCTTTTTGTTATGTTTAAACATCATGGGAATGGAACAACTATTTTTTTTCTTGAACCAGGGCCATCTTGAGCAATGTTCTCATAAGGCATTCTCCAAGGAGTACTGAGTGGAGACACTGCCCCAAGGATTAAAATGACTACGTAAAGGCTTTGCTGGAAGACCAAAGTAATTGAACTTTGGATGAGTTGGTTTTGAACTGGGATATGCTACTTACCTGCCATGGTGGACAAGGGATTTAAACAACTGGGTTAAATGAAACTATAGAAGTAGGGTTTGAGTCAGGAGTTGTATTTGCCTTTTTTTGTAACATATTAGGAGTGTTGAGATTTGCTTATGAAGAATGGAAAACAGTAGACTTATTAGGCCTGCTTTTCTGGTATTACTTTTTTATCTTAAGAGTGAAGCTTTGCTGAAGTGAATGAGAGTACATAATGTTTAATTCAATGTACAGCTAACAAACTAAGTTTTACACTACATCAATTATACCTAGGCTATATATCATGGGATGGTTTATTAGTGCTTTCATAAATTATTTGACATTTCTAGTCTGGGTGTTGGAGATAAATGCAGTGTGTTCCTGCAGCTGATCCTGTGCTTCTACCACTGGAAGGAATCTAAAGATTTGGAAGGATCACAGCACCATACTCTCTTGAGTTTTGTGATTTATGCAAGAATTTTTATTCTCTCAATCACAATGGTACCTGCACTTATTTCAAATATCTCCCTTGATCAACAATGACTAGCAGGGATTGTTAAAGCAGATTAAACTGTTGGACATTAAACCTTGCTAATGCTGATTAAAGCTGGACACTTACCTGAGCCAGGCAGCACAGTGCAGAGAATACTGACTTACATTGTGGATTCTAGCTCCACACAGGAAGCTACTGCATCATCCCAGACCACAAGGCCACATCACAGAACAACTGCGCTGAAGTTATTAACCCCTGTCTTTCAGTACATAGTAAACCTCATGCAAGATTTATCTGTTTGGCTGTGGAACTCTAGCAGTGCAAAACTGTCTCTGAAACAAATTTAGCTGAGATCCTAGCAAAGAGAATAAATTGTTCACCATGCTTCTAGAGCATTCATTGGGCGCTATGAATGAGGTGCTTTGCCTCATCTGCCCGGTAGGTATGTAGCAATTGCAAGTGTCTGAGAGTCCTCTAAAGCAGTTGGCAGCACCCGCCTAATGCTTGTTTTTCTGAGTATTTTCCTTTTTTTTTACAACTAGTACTTTGTTGACAATATTTCAGGAGCTTTGGGTTACATTTGTGCTGTGAAAGAGAGTAACAAGAATGTGAAGATCTCTACTAATTTATCTGTGTCTCTACAGTATTTTATTTGCAGACATTGTGGGATTCACTAGTTTGGCATCACAGTGTACTGCCCAAGAGCTGGTGAAGCTGCTGAATGAACTTTTTGGAAAATTTGATGAATTAGCTACAGTAAGTACAACCCTGTTATTTCAATTTAATTTACATTTCCTTCTGAAAAATGATTAATGAGTTATACATGTTAGAAATCTGTAAGAGACTGATTTAGTCCCACATGCCTTGAATTTCTAAAGCTTCAATCTTTTTTTAATATTCTAGAGAAAAGACAATCTCTTTTAATGGTTTAGGAAAGAAGTGTGAGTACTATTTTTAAATATACTTTTCTTCCCCTTTCATGCAGTCCATCAGTATTCTTCATTGGTTTTGTTTGTACAAAACAGAGAAAAATTTTCAATATTTACATTTTTATTCTTCATCCAAAAAAATCAGAACAATGGAAAATATTAATATTGGCAGTATGGCATAAAACTTTCTGTGATAATAGGAGGCTAGAGAGTAAAATTCATCCTTCACAGAGAGCACTCCTTAAAACAGAAATGATGGTAGCTTTTCAGAGTGGTTATTGTAGGCAAAATAGGATCCATGTAATAAATTGATGCCTATGTTTTTGTTGTTGCACTTACATTGAGCTAGATTCCCCAAGGAAGAGAAAATGAGAGAAATGTTCCTTGTCTATAACTCCAAGCAGCCTAATTTGACAAGAACCATTGGATGGGAAATGAGAGGAATTGCTGTGCCAGAAAAAGTCATACATCTTGTTTCAAATTACATTCAACAAGAGGTTGAAAATGTCTTCCCCTGAACAAAGCAAAACTTCATCAAATCTATCTTATTTGCCAGCTGTCCTTAAAACCTTCATTGCAGAGAAGTAACTCTTCCACATAAATTACACTCCTCTACTGTCTAGCTATTCTGTCTTCAGACTCCATGAAGCAGCCTAAAGAAAATATTTGTTTAGGTCCTCGACACAAATAGCATCCACATTTTTTCAGTCCAAACTCACTTCTCCTTGATGCAGTCTTCCACATGAGAGACCTAAAGTATGTGAACATTTTGCATCTAAATCTCCCTCTTGATAAACAGCTCTTAAGAACCCCAAGGAGAAAGAAACCTTCTGCTCCACAAGGTCCTAGGGTTGAGAAAGACCTATTCTTAGTTAAGTGGGTTATCCTTTGATGGAGTGCTATGTTCTGATTTGCACTAGATGTTCAAGTCGTAACAGAAAAAAACTCGTGTGTTCCCTTTTTTCCAAGAAAAGCAGAAGATTAATTTAGATGCTTAGTAGAGGTGCAATGGAATCCTAGGGGGTTTAGGGATGAATTTTTGAAAACAATTCATTACTGCAACTACTGGCAGTATCTCATAGAGAGCACAGGTCCTCAGTCCAGTGTACTTCACAGATTATGCCTTAGAAATAAAAGTGAACTTCCATTTAGATAGTCATTTGCAAGAGCTTAAATAGTTTAAGTTCAAATATTCTCCTTACTTTGATTGCATTTTAATTATATGTCAACCAGACATCTAATAAGCTCTTTTAAAACTTACAGTGCTGTCATTTGTGGAGTCTTTATACCATGCAATACAGAGCCATGTAACAAAAGGGAAGTACTGTAATATAACACAAGATCACATATGTGCACACAGAAATACATAAGCCTATGATGTGTCATGGCCCTGAAGCCAGAGAAATGGCTGCCCTACCGTGGTTGCTGCCTTAGCCATGGCTGAGTGCTGCCAGCTGAGGGTGTCAGTGACACCAGAAGGCAGGTACCAGGCAGATGCCAGCCTTTTATGCAAGGTCGGTTGTTGGTCATGGAAGAAGCAGTTTGGAGATCACAGAAGAGAATAAAAAGACTTAGTTTTTCTGTTCAGCCTGCAAGGATTCTTTTTCAAATTTACAGAAAGAAATCTCACAGTTTCTTTCAGGTATGTGAGGAAGATTTGCTCCTTAGGAGTACTTCTAGTTTAGAGTGTGCTTCACTGAGGTGTGGTTAAGGACAGACATACAAGCTTTCCTTAGTGCCTTGTGATGTGATTGGGGGAGACCTGTAATTGTGTCTTCTGCAGTCAGAGAAATGTGCTGAGAAATACAGGTTTTCAGAAGGATTCTAATCTCTTGGTTAAAGCAGCTTCTAGGTATTCACTATTAGGTCAAAAGAGAGGACTGGGCTGATTTTAAAACTGTGCTGTGCTTGAGTATTCAGAATGATTAAGGAGGAAATTGCAGAGATTTTAAAGAGTGTAACAGTGATAGGTAGGGTCCCTGTGATTACTAAAGTGCAATCTGTGTGTGCCTGCTGCTGTTTGTATGCTGCTGTTTCTTGGGAAGCAATGCCAGGCGGAAGGTGCAGTTTATGACTACCTTTCTTGAAAAAATTGCCCTGTCTTAAAAATATAAAGAAATTTAAAAGAATCCCCAATACCACTGTGGAAAGTGTAATAAGTATAAGACAGCATATATTTGTTGGGAAGCCTCAAGATGGATCTTGACATTTTGACACATGGACACATTGTAGAAATAGTGAGTCTTTGCTTTTTTACAGTATAGTTCAGCTAAAATTTGTCTTTCTCGCATTTAGAAGCTGGTTTATGTTTTTTGTATTAGTAATTTCTCTCTTTCCATATACTATTTCTTTGGATGTTTTTTTGTTTGTGGTTTTTGGGGTTTTGTTTTGTAAGGCACATAGTTTTGCTCTCTTTGAAATGCTACCTTTTTTTTTTTTAAATCTCAATAGCTTCAGATATAGTTACAACTCATGATAGGGAGTTCTGAAAGCGAACCTTAGGTTTCAGTATAAAGTCATTCAATTCTTTGAAAATATACTTTAGCATTCTGTTAGTAAAGAGGGGGAAAAAAAATCTTGATCTTACTATTTCCTCCTAGAATTCATTTGTACTTTTTTCATGTCCTTTCATGTCTATTCACATCTAGAGAAAGTATGTTTTTTTAAACACTTATCTTGCATACATTATTTTACCTTGCAAATCACTGAGTCTTTGAGTGCTAGGGAAGAGACAAGCAGAGTGCAGTACATAAAAACATAAAATATCTTGAGCTGGCAGGGATCCATAGAGATCATCAAATCAAAAGCCCTGCTCCTTCAGTACTACCTAAAACTAAACCACATGGTGAGCATTGTCCAGCTGCTCCCTGAAAATGATGGCATGATTTTTTGTTTTCTTTTTCACAATAGCATTGTTTGGTTTCTTACAGAAACAGTCTTAGGTAATCCTATAGGATTTGTGGTCTCCTCAGGAACTTTTGAGTCCTAATGCCAACTTCAATCACTTCGAAGGAATGCAAGTCTCAAAAATATAAACAAAAATGAGTGTCATTATATTAGTATCCTTGCAGGAGTGTGACTTCATCCTAGACCAGCATCAGAGAACCCACATGGGAAGGTGCTATTATAAATACCTCAGAGTTCATTTGTATGTCTGCTTAATGATGTTTTGTAATGTGACTGTCTTTAGGCATTGATACAAGCATTTTTGGTAAGTTTGTCTGTGCAAGGATTCCCTTAGGACATAACTGTAACAAGGCACCTTCCTGAACATAGAGTTGGTGAAGTTTCTCATAAGGCCCATGAATAGTTCAGCTTGAAAGGATTGATTTCTATTGGATTTTTTCTGCTGCTCAGGCTTAATTTACTTAGTTCTGGCTGTTACTCTGAAGTTTTTTGGTTTCCTCCCATTAAACAAGAGTAGCTTTGTGCAGTCTCAGATTTGGCCCTGCTGATATCATCCTGCATTACATATTATTAATAAATGCTTCAAGCAATTGATCTTTCAATGAGGTCTTCAGATGCCTTGCAATCAACCTTTGATACTATAGCTAGCTTTCAGTTTGTCATTCTTCAGTTTACTTTTAAGAGTGACAAATTTTAATGAGATATAATCACTTGCATTATGCTGTCATGGTCAAAGCTCTATTAAGTTTTGATGCAGTTTAGATATGTCCTAAATATTTTACTTGTAATATGTCATCTTAATAGAAAAGAGGAGGCAGTTCTATAGCATCCTGAATTTTAATGAAAAAGGTTTGATTTTCAGAGAAGTTTCTATTTTCTTTAATTGCTTTTTTCTCTGGTGTATTTTTTTTCACATACTTCCTGCATCTAGTCTACATGGAGAATTAATTATTTGTCTTTAGAGATTCAGATATTTCCCTTTAAGCATCCATCTTTCTGCATCTTGGAATTTGAAGACTTTTCATTTACAAGCTGACAAGGATAAAAGAATTTTAGTTGTTTTTCACAGGACATCACTAGAAGAGGTTTTTAATATTCTGAATGAAAGTTCTTATTTCTTCACACTACTTTTGGTATCTCATCTATTAAGCAGACTGATACCACTTCCTTGTTCTTTCCATTACAGTTATGTATACCTCCAGGCTTTGTCAGGCTGAATCTATTTTTATTTCTTTCCATTTTAATTTAGTTTCTTTCCCTGATTGTCTTCTTAGCATTTAACAATTTTTACTTTGCATATTTCAACATTACTGAAGTGTCTCTTGCTACCAGTTCAAGCTCAAAGGTACTGAACTGAAAAAAACTTTTTCTGAGCCGTAGGCAAAGAATCAGTAGATAATATTTTTAATCAGCTTGTGTGTTTTTTATCTGTGTCAAGAACAGTTAGTTCTTTGCTGAGCATTGAACTAGATTTCCCTAGAAGTAATCACTCTAAAAAATTGTTTACATTGCATCTGTAGAATGCTTTTAATTTATATTAAGATAATTATGATGTATTTTTAAAATACAAAATAAACTGTGTTTTGTGGACTGTTTAAGATGGGAAAATTAGTGCTGGAAAGCATAAGTATAAACTTACAGCATGTAACCCTTCTTTGTGAAAATTTCTGGGCACTGGGAGGCAGGATACTTATAAATGCTAATTTTAAGAAGAGTTGTCTCAGTTTCTCTTGAAAGTCAGCACAGACACAGGATCCCACTGAGGCAGATCACCACATAAGTTTAAATCCAGTTCTGAACAGCCAGATGTCTCCTGGAGAGACCTAAGGAAGTAAACTTTCTTAAAGGAAAGTGTTCTTAATCAATATGCCTTAATGCTATAGGATCAGGGAATAATGATGTGTGCATGAAGTGAAGCTG